AAAAAAAAAAAAAAGAGCTAAGGCTACACAGGAACATTCCAAGATCTGAGCAGAAGAATCAAGGCAGTGGATACCCTAGCCCTGCGGTGGGCATGAGGAACTGCCTGTGGCACGCCCATTCTTTTGGTGTGGGGCGGGGGCCCTTGAGGGCCTGGTCTGAGGTGGTTTAAATGGTGCTTATAACACAGTGGTCTTATTTCTAGGCTTTCGGACAGTCCTTTCTCCAGCCTGATATCCACCTATTTAAACAAAATCTCTTCTACTTGGAGACTCTCAACACCAAGCAGAAGCTATACCACAAGGTCAGTGCCCCCTCTCAGGAAGGGCCCTTCGTCAGAGCTGCCCCGGGGGCGGGTGGAGTCCCACCCTCCTCAAGGCCCCAGGGGCAGAGCGGGCCCTCGTGCCCTGGCTTACCCAGGCCTCTCTGTCTGCAGAAGATCTTCCGGACCACCATGCTGTTTCAGTTTGTGAACGTGCTGCTACAGGTCCTGGTTCACAAGTCCCACGACCTTCTGCAGGAGGAGATCGGCATTGCCATTTACAACATGGCCTCTGTGGACTTTGACGGCTTCTTTGCAGCCTTCCTCCCAGAGTTTCTGACCAGCTGTGATGGTGTGGATGCCAACCAGAAAAATGTGCTGGGGCGGAATTTCAAGATGGATCGGGTGAGGAGAGAGAGGCCAGGCTAAAGGGAGTACGGGCCAGGGCTCTCACGCCTGGGGCCTGCTCAGGGAGGAAGGGGCAGTGGTCTGTACCCGCCGGTGGCTCCTGAACGACTTGTTGCCGCGGCTGGACGCAGGGGCACACGCCTCCCCCGGTGTGTGTTCTTCACGTCAGCCCCTGGGCCCCGGCCCCAGCAGTCCGACTGCCTCAGCTTCTTTGTGCTTCTCCCCCGGGATCCGGACACTGTTCCCTCACGGGTCGTGAACTCGCAGACAGGCTGCGAAGACTGGTGCTCAGGAGTCTCTGAGTCCCCAGAGTTCGAGATGGGCCCCTGGGCTCTCCCCAGGCCTCCCGGTTCCGTGTGGGCTGACCTGCTGCCGGGTCCTCGGAGAAGCCCCTGCAGCACACCCCCTTGTCCCCCTTGCTGCCCGCTCAGGGAACGTGGTGGGAGGGTGGGCTCTGTGGCCCCCTGTGCAGCACCTTGTGTGGCTGTGGGTGCACACGGAGCCAGCGCTGCCCGTGTGTCCGGGTCCCATGGCACCCGGCTTCTGTCCCGGCGCCTCCCTCCTGGGCACTCACCTGCCCTGCTTCCTCTCTCAGCCGTTAGGTTTCTTCGCTTGCCCGGTAGGCTTTTCCTGGAACTCTTCCCACGGAACAAGTCCTTTTCGTCCTTCACCACCTGACACATGGCAAAACGAAATCGTTCTCCCACGTCCTCATGCGTCCCTGCCTTGCCTCCCACCCTGGAGCAGCCTGCCCACGGTTCCCCTTTAGTGTTCAGATTTACACATCGCTCTCGCTGGAGCAGACTCCTCTCACCGCTTGCCCGTCTCATCTGTGACGTGTGTCAGGATAGTGCTTTCTTAGACTCAGGTCCTGTTTTCCCTTGTCTTGGAATCTTTCTGGGATGTCTTGTTCCCTCCTAAACTTTTTCTTAAAGTTCACTTCAGCCACTTGGGTATTTTTCCTTCCTTTTCCTGGAGACCACATCCTGATATTTAACTGTCAGTTTCTAGTGATGTCATTGTCAGCCAACTTCTCGATTGAAAGCCGGGCTTCCAAATCTATATATGCATCAGTGCACCTGGGATGCTTATGAAACACACAGGAACATATTCTTGTATCCTCCCCCAGGAAATTTGAATTTGGCATTTGGGAGCCACTGATCTAAGAGACACCCCTTGGTTTGTTTTCTGGAGGATGAGTGAAGGAATCAGTGCCTCCACTCACCAGTTCCCTCTGTACCTGAAGTTGGCTGCCTCTCGGCCCCGGAGAGGGTGTTGGGGCTCAGTCCCTCCCTGCTTCAGAGGAGCCTCCCTGGGAAGACAGGCGGCGGCGCCCTCCGTGGATGACGCCGGGCCGGCCACGTCACATGTCCCAGCTCTCGTGAGCCTTCCAGCAGCCTTCTGAAACGTATACAGGTCTTGTCGTTAATCCTATTTCACAGATGAGCCCAGGCTCCGCAGGGTCAGCCGTTAGTTAGCAGTTCAGAGCCCGGGAACGCTAGAGCCGGGAAGCAGGATCCCTCGGCTGGGCCTTCTCACTCGGGAGCCGGTGTGTACTGCCCACGCACAGGGGGAGCCGAGGGCGGCTCGACAGCAATGAGCAGGGGTGCTGGCCTGGGCAGCTGGGGCCTTTTTAGAAGAGGCAGGCTTTGAGCGGAGGCCGAAGAGGACAGATTAGCGGGGGGAGGCGTGGGTGGGCGAGGGAGCTGTCGGTGGCTTCAGCCGTTTCCGGAACCCGCCCTGCCACTGGGCTTTCAGAAGGCGTGCACACTCGCTCTGTGGCAGGCACCGTTGGGGTCACTCCGCATTTGGACCTGTGCTCTGGCCACCGGTGATCCCGGCCTGAAGATGAGGGGGCTGACCCCCGGTGCTCTTGTGGCCTCTGGTGGGGTCTGGGTTCCGGCTGCGAGGGGCCCTCTCGGTGGGTGTCTGCAGCCCGTGGGTGCCGCCGATGCGTCCCTGCTGACTGGTCGGGCCCGCCTGGGGCCCGGGCGGGGGTGGACTCTGTGGACGTGGCTTGGCCGTGGCGAAGGAGAGGTGTGCATTGGCACG